TATAGTAAGCAGACAAATTATATTACCACAACAGCAGAGTAACAAGATTAAGTAATTTTTAGGAAGGACAGTCGAGACATTTCAAAACAGCTGCAGCTATAACCAAGGGAGTCAGTCCGACAGTCGGCAGCAGAGAAATTGATATTGATGAAGGTCTTCCCGCAGGAAAGATCCAGGAAGGAGCAAAGGTAAAGAATGTGGCCCTGTTTTCGATAAGAGCGACAACGATCAGTTTAAGCCGCGAAATTGCTCGATCAGCCGAAAGAACTCAAGCGTCATTTGCTCTCCCAGATAAAGAGGCAAAGCGGAGGAAAGCGTCGCATAATGAGCTCCCTGGTCGGAAAACCAACGAGATGGGAGCAAAGGACATGTGGCTGCCTATGGCTAAAACACAAGTGGTTTGTTGTCATTATACCTTCTTCATTTCTTTTTTTTTCGAAAATACATTTACATACACGTCGCACGGCGCCGGTTTCGTCTTTATGGTCGCGAGTCTGGTGTAATGATATCCCGACAATGGGTAAGTTAGTTTCGGACTGGGTGGATTTTGATAGTGTTTTGATGCGCGTGTCTGGTTAGCAACATATTGACAAGGCTCATTCTTTTCGGAACTCTTTGAGGCAGCGCAGTTGGGTGTTCTGTTGTGCATATCTACCTGTATATATTCGCAGTAAGGCATGGCTTGTGTGTGTGTATGTATGTGTGTGTGGTGTATGTTGTATGTGGTATGTGTGTGTTGTTCGTGTGTTTGTCACGAATTTCTTAGCGCGCTTTGCTACAGCCATGGAGAGCTGCATTTTAAGCATGGTGTAGTGGGTGGGACGGGAACATATTTGGTGGGAACCAGAAAGTGATTACAGATGATAGGGAATGATTAGGAGCGTTAAAATGCGGAATTCGTGAAATGCATAACGCGCGAATTAGTAGAGGCGTTCTCTATCGAGTATGATGTAGAGGGTGGGACCGGAACATATTTGATGGGGACAAAAGTGATACAGATGAATAGGAGAATGAAAGGGCTTTAGAACCTGGTCGCGAAATGCATGGCGCGCGGCACAGTAGCAGTGAGGCGTTCTCTACCGAGTATGATGTAGAGGGTGGGACGGGAACATTAGCATTGAAAGGAAAATGTCACGAAATTAGCAGCGCACAGCCCAACAGCACTGAGGCGTTGTTTCGCAGAATTGCCCAGACGGGAGTATATTCGATGGGGACCAGAAAGTGATAACAGCTGATAGTTGTTGATAAGAAGCGTAAATTTCACTGAATTTATTATCCAGATGTGCGATGAGAAAATATCTCATATATCGCGATGTCGTTGTCATCCATTTAACCACTTATCTGCCCGTGCTTGTTGAATGCTCGTGTCTGTGGATCGAGTTCGATTTGTATTATTATCTCTGTAGGCACTGGAGGTTATTTAGCGACCGCTATAACGTTCGCCAACTGCCGAGGCATTATAGGTGTTTTGTCGCGAAAGACTGGTAAATGCGTGGGGACTGATAATAAGCAGCTCAAGTAACTGTATTAGTTCTCCGAAGGTCGCTCGGCTGTTAGACTCGGGAGTCTTAGAAAAATGATAGATGTTTGTTGGTATTGACGAACTGCGAGAAATTACTGCTTTATCATCTGCTTTCGTTAATACCTTTGGTCAAATCCATGGAAAGCCTGTGTACTCAATGCAAGGCTAGGCTCGGCCTCACTGAAGCTCACGTCCGAAGTGGGCGGTGCACTGACCACGTTGGACGGTGCCAGCGCAAATTGCTCAAGTCCAAACACTACAGATGACCGGCAGAGCTCGGGAAAATGGTAAGCTGTGCACCGAGTATGAGGTTGAATCAGGGCGAGTCGCCCACTGTGGGCGGGGCCGTTCTCCGAATAAGCAGGCTTCCTAAGGAAATGCATAGCGCTTTGCTTATAAGATGAGAAAAAAGCAGGGAAAATTAGTATAGATGAGCTGCTTACAGAGATGCTTGAGGTATATTCCCGATCGGTATCGATTGGAAAGACCGGTTTTATGACGTGGGCCGGAATGGGTAGCTAATCACTGCAGTGGTTGTATATAGTCGTAGAAGTTGAATTTTACAGTGTCATGCGCTTCCAATCAACTTTGATTGGAAATATTGCTTTTGCCAAGGAGGCTTGGAACAGGTTGCTAACCACAGCATTGATTGTGATGAGCCATGGAAGCTGAAATCTATACGCTCGCTCATGCGTTATCGATCTGTATCAATTGGAATTATCGCTATTTTGCATGGAGACGGCGTCACAAATACGCCCCCTATGTAATTTGAATTATACCGTGTTAACGTCCTAGGAAGAAAACTTTCTAGCGTGACGGGCATTTTCGATTTGACTCATTTCCACTCTGATAGAAAGGACACGATTGCAACAGATACGTTTTTTCGCATAATAGGTCTCGAAAATTGGAAAGATGCCACAGCCTTGTGGGAAGGCCGTATCACTTTGGCTGCTAGTTTTACCGTACGATACCGTACGCGTCACACGATCGCTAACGAATGGGGTACTCATAGGATAAACTGAGGTGACTTCAGTCGGTATATAATGGTCATTACTTTCGTTTTCCGGCCTCTTTTCACTCGATGCATTGAACTGGTTGGGTACAGGTGCCGATGGGCCCTCTTATAATTGGGAGGCCGCGTTTCTTATAATTATATCCTTCACTGTAGAGCCTCTCTTTTGATAACACACCACTGTCGTGCCAGGCGGATCAGTGGAGTAAGACGCATCGGCGAATCCGACGAGACACGGCAAAAACGTGGGATTCCGGTGGGTGCCCACAACACCTCTGAAGGGAAGATGCGTGCAACGAAGAATGCTTGATGACCGAAGTCCTTGATGCCTGCAGCGGGTTGACAAGAGGCCTTGCTTCCCTGTGCCCAAAGGGCATAAGCGTGCTGGCGCGTGCTGATTGCCTAGTAGTGCGAAGGATGTCGATCTGCCAAGTGAACAAGAAGAGGATCCGAAGATGACACGATGGATCGACTAGGCGAGATTTGATGGCGGCGTGTGCGCGGCGTAGACTGAGTTAGACTTGACTGTTATGCGCCTAGATATTACACTTCTTCATGTCGCCTGAATAAACATTACATAAGAATATTGACAAATACATACTAGAAAGAATTATACGAAAAGTCCTGTACTATGTAAATCCTATTGCAATTAAGGAAAGAAGAATACTACTGTTAATAATGACTACGATGGATACTATTAGAAGGATACTATTGAATACAGTTATGAAACCTAAGGTGCTAACTCCCATAATGAACTAGCTAAGATCTAAAAGAGAAGTAAGGTGTGGTAACTACTAAGGGCTATCCCGGCGAGACGATTTAGGTTAAGGTTATATAAGATAAAGCCAAACTAACTATTGTATGGCGAGCTGGTGTCATCGCGTGAAGATGGAATAAGAATAACAGCGATGAACAGCCGATAACCGGAGAGGCGAATAGAGGGCGACCGCTCAGGATGATGCAATGGCGAATGAATGACGTGGCTACGGTTCGCGCGCAGTTTGAAGGCGCAGGCAACCAAGGTCCTGTGCCGATGGCGCGGAGTTTGAACCGGTATTTTGCCCTGCCTCTAACCAGCTGCCTTGGAGCACCTTTACTCGAGGTCGTGGTCACGACACTCCCTCGAGCGAGATGCGACTATAATATATAACGAGAGTAAAGTGCTACATATTTTTTGAAGTAAAGGTAAATATATATTTTTCCTGCGCCTGGGATAGGGGCTTAGTGGGAGTTGGCGTACAAGGGGTCGTTACTAGCTTAAAATGGGTTACAATATACAGACACTTTCGTTGCTTCGCTGGAAGGAGGCCTACGTAAGGGTACGTGTGCCATGGAACTAGAAACTACACAGAGAATAATGAGTGATAAGTACAGCTGAGTAAATTGGAAAATAGTTAACACAAATTGCAGCAAATGGCACACAAGGTAAGCGAAGCGACGATAAATCGGAACTGACTGATGACGTCGTCGGCCGTGTGCATGGCGTGAAGTATCGTAGTCAATGTAGTGTGCTGCTCTCCATAGCAAGCTTGACCGACCAATAGCGACTTGTAGCAGATAGCATAGAGTGACCATGGAACGACGGCTAGCTTGACGGCGACGATGGAAGTGTCGAACGAAAGGAGAGTGGCTTAACTACTGAGCGTAATTCACGCCTAGGGTGAGAATTTGGGCGAGCACGATTTTACTAAGCTCGCGTTGAGACCGAAACGAGGAGGGGATGATGTTGCTTCCCGTTGACTTATACCCTAGGTACACACGAATGAGTTCCAAAAGGAGGGGGGTGTTGTTCCCAATGTGCTTGTTTGACTTGTGCCCGAAAAAGAAGGGGTTAAATGAGTAAGTATACATAAATGTGGAGGTATAATATGGCTGAGCTTAAGGGCTCAGGCAGAGAGAACACGTATAAATGGAGTAATTGAATATATGAATGGTAAAATAGAGTAAATGAAGTAAAGAGTAAATGAATAGCTAAATATATAATGTATAAAGGGACGGACTATAATTAATGAGAAGTTGAACTTACCTGGGTTGCGTAGTTGCTGGCGTAGATCCTATGCATGTCGTCGTAGAATGTCGTAAAGTTCTCAATGTCGTAGATGCTGTGAATGCTGTTAAGACAAAGTGCCGGATGGTGTCCTTTTTCATGACAAACGCGGCAAGGTTGCGACTTACGAAGACAACGTGCTGGAGGAGCATGCTTGTTGAGGCAGTTGAGAGAACTACGTATCCTGGCCTGTGCAGTGGTTTCGAGGTAGCGGCGAAAATCGGCCTAATACAGCTAGAAGAGGAAGTGAGTTCGTTGCCAGAAGTAGCTGGCGAACGATGCTGTAGAACGGTTCCGATTGCTGCTGCGCGCTGCTGTAGCTGTGACGGTGTGGCTAGCTGTGCTGTGCTGTTGAGGCGACGGGCTGCTGCTGAGATCTTTCCGGAGACGACAAGCGCGAAAGACCCAACTTGAACTTTTTAGATGGAAACGTGCGACGTATTGGACCTGGGTCGCAATCGTACGAGTAGTAGTTCGAGATGGAATCGTCTGAAATCGCAAGCGTCTTTGTCCTGTTGCTGCGGAGGAGAAGACTGAGCAGTATCCGAAGAAGTCTGTGCCGATGTTGTTGGCGGACTTGGCTGTTGCTGGACTACTGTGACGACGGTGTCTACTGACGACGACGTGGATGTGCCGATGGACTTGGTGGATACCTGAGAAGAACTTGGAGGCGATGAGCCTAACGTGGTATCCTGGAGTAGCTTGACAACCGATTCGACGTTGTGATCACGAGTAATTAGTCCTAAGAACTGCTTAGTCGTTGGTATTTCATCCTCGTTTGTGGAGAACTTTTCGGAGGAGATATTCAAGTTGTACTTGATGGCGTTGGCGATTTGCTGAAGGTAGGTGAAGGCGAATGAGGTGGAGGTAGTGGCGGATGCGAGTAGATGTATGACGTTAGAGTGCGTGATGTGAAACTGAGCGAGAAGATCTACGAAGTCGCGGTTATCGTCGATTGGATTGAAGACGTGAGGCAAGATGAGATCGGCGAAGGCGTTGCGATGAGACTGAACGTTGTAAATGAGTGTCGCGAGTTCCTGATGTTTGTCTAGAAGGATCACGACTGACTGAAACCAAGCTGGATTACTGCCAAGGTCCGTGGAGAATTGCTTGAGCCTCTCGACCGAATGATGGAGGCCTTTAAAGTGGCTAACGACGAGGGCAAGCGAGAAGTTACGGACTGGCGGATAGTCTAAGTCCGATTCTGACGGAATAGTAGCTTCGTTGACGAATTGGTCCCGAATTGACGAGAAGAAGGAATGATGGAGAAATGCGTCAATAAGGAACAGATCGCGATTAGCAAGATGTTCAATGCTGAAGATAGTGTCGAAGTTGATCGCCTGAGTTAGAGCCTGAGTGATGCGAAGTGGAAGTCGATCTTGTGGCGGAACGGAGATGTCCTGCGTTCGATCGTCTTCAAGGCGCGAGATCTCTTCATCCGTATAATGTCCACGAGTATAGCGATAGACAAGTTCCAAGACGGTAGGCGGACGAGTAGATCTGTACAATGTGGAGGATGAATCTCCAGAAAGTGGATGGCGAAGAGGGCGATAAACTGGTAGATGAAAATGCGATGGAGGAGCTTGGGCTCTAAGATCGCGAATAGCTGACACGACTAATGAAGCACTTTCCGAAAGAGGAATAGAAGGTACGGAAAATACTGGAGCAGAAATCGAATCAGAAGCCGAGGTGGAAACTGACTGATTCGTTGTCGAAGTAGATGCCTGACGCGACGAAGTTGTTTGGGTCGACGCGGTGGACGACGAAGTGGTCGACGTAGGCTGCTTGAACATCGCACGAGAACACAGTAGCAGGATAGTATCTAAAAGAAGAAGAGTTAGAAGCGATAGAGACAGACAAAGAAAGGTTATAAATTCGAGTAAGGTTTAACTATATAAAGGGGGAAATAATAAGCTATAAAAGAACTAAATGTATCCTTCTATTTTATAAAGCGCTAACTTTGTGTGTCGGTTTGTGTATCTGTATGTGTGTGTATGTATGTATGTGTGTCCGTCCGCAAAATGAAGTGAGTGAGAAGGAAGCTCATGGGATAAACAAACC